CAGTGCGGAGAGTCCAGCTTGTGATGAGAGAAAAGCCTCAGGGCCCACTGTCTTTAGGAGATGTGAAATGAGGTAGACCAGGCCAGCAGAGAATTTACTTCCACGTTGAGTGTTATAGCACACTGATCACTGACAACTTCTGCTCTTCCTCACATTTCCTTATTCTTGTTTTTTCCCCAGATTTCAGTGGTTGCACTGGAATTATGTCTTTGTGTATTCTGTTTGTAGTTGGGCATCTGGGGTCTACAGGTATGCGCTGTGCCTGATTCCCTGAAGCAGTTTCTGGAGGGGTGTGTGTGTGTGTGTGTTGTGTTGTGCTGGCATGTGTTGGTATATATTGACCTGTGTTGTAATGTAACAGGGTCTGCTTCAGCCTGAAGCCTAGTGGATAAAGAAAGCCACTGATAGTGGATAGTTTCAGGTGGTAAGATCATAAGTAACTTCTTTTTTTATGTCTTTCTCTGTTACTTTGAAAAAAAAAAAAAAAGTTTTGCACTGAGGACACATCAGTTATAAACAGGAAAAGCAATTAAGGTATTTGTTTCTAGGGGGAAGAACTTATTTATTGTCAAAGATCAATATGGCCTGAGCTATAAAAGGTACAGAGGAGAGAGACAGACAATGAGTCACACCCCTTGGACCTGGAGGCTCTGAAGGCTGAGTAGCCGGCCTTGGCTAGCTCTTGGGGTTCTGCCTTTAGGAATGGGTACTCTGAGTGTAACTTAAAATTCTCAGAGGTGTATAAGATTTACCAGAAGAAAAACAGACCTTGGAGATTTATGCAATTGAAAACAAAGTCAGTTTCGCTTGCTAAGAATTCTAAATTTGCTTTTTAAGAGCACGGAAGGATCTGGGCTGTGGCTCAGTTGGTTGAGTGGCATGCACGAAGCCCTGGGTTCTATCCCAGACACAACATAAACAGGGCAGAGTGGCATGCTGCTGTCATCCCAGCACTCAGGAGGTGGAGGCAGGAAGATCAGAACTTCAGGGTCATCCTCAGCTACATAGCGAGGTGTGGGAGGGAGGGGTGTGTATTACATCCATCAAGGCAGGGAGGCATGGCGGCAGGGGCGTGAGGCAGCTGCTCACCTGTGCCCACAGTCAGGAAGCAGAGATGGATGCTGTGCTCACTTCTTTGTGTTCAGGCCGGACCCCCAGTCCGTGGGATGGGCCTCCCCACCTCAGCCTACCTGGTCTAGACTTTCCCTCACAGACTTGGCCGGCGGCTGCTCCCCTATAGTTGGCAGGGTTTGCCATCACACGTGCTCAGAACAGAATGGTAGAGAGAGCTCAGGCATCAGAGTGGTCTGTAGAAATCCCATGTGTTTCTCTCCTGGGTAGACTGATTGCGGAGCTCCCTGAGCCTCATCTGCAGCGCCATTTCATCCATGTTCCCTGGACTGCAAACGCTCATCCCGATGTCCTCCGACCTCAGCTGCTGCCTATGTTCTCAACATAAGGCAAAGCAACAAAGCAACCCTGGGTCAGGTTAGAGCCGGATGGAAAATCGTGATTTTAAAACTTGTGTGTACATGTGTGATTTGGGGGGCAGGGTACAGATGCCAACAGAGGCCAGATGCATGGAATCCCTTTTGGAGCTAGAGTTACAGCTGGTTGTGAGCCTCCATATATGGGTGCTAGGACCCAAGCTTGGGTCTCCTGGAAGAACAGCCCGTGCTCTTAACCACTGACCCTTTTCCCAGCCACCCAAAGGTGATTTTAGGTAGCTTCAGCCAGCCTGAGGCTTTGGATTCTCAAGATGAGCAGAATGAAGAATGCTTGTGTTGAGAAGAGGGTTCTTTCCACAGGGGTCTGGATGCACACAGCTACTGGGCAGCTCTGTGTAGTCAGCCACAAGGAGCCTGGGGTCACTTAGAATCACGTGTGTGTGTGTGTGTGTGTGTGAGAGAGAGAGAGAGAGAGAGAGAGAGAGAGAGAGCCGGGGGGTCCTCTGCCCTCATGTTGAAGAAACCTGGGGTCTGATGACAAACTGTTACCTAGACTAGAGACATGGAAGGGTTAGGTGTGCGTGCTCAGCATTGTGTCTATTGTGTGTGAAGTACTCAGCTCCCAGCATGCAAGGTGCTGCTCCTCAAGTTATCTCACAGAGAAACTGGGAGCTGAAACTCTCAAAATGTGGACGAAATTTCTGGAGGAAGCTTCTATATTTCGTGTGTTTTCACATAGTCTCGGGGTTGATTTAGTACCAAACGGCAATTGTGCCACAGCGCAGGAAGACTGGACAGGGGTGTGGCTCCGTTATCATGCTTGCCTAGCGAAGGGGGGGTCTCTGGAGTCTGTCCCCACCACAGACTGTAATCCTAGCCATGGGGAGATGGAGGCAGAAAGCCAAGAAGTTCAAGGTCATCCTTGGCTGTATAGTGAATGGGCTACATGAGACCCTGCCTCAAAAAAAAAAAAAGAAAAAAGAAAAAAGAATAGACTCTTCTCCCCCTCTCTCACCATTCAAGCTATAAGCTAAAAGAATCCTCCACACACAAAAAAATTATGCATGTGTATTTTTTCTTTATTGTGTTTTACATAATAATATGCTATGTAATAAGACCCATGAAATAGAAATTCAACAAAATAGCCATCCTGTCGTAAGTGTCCATATGGAGATTTAGACAAACTGAATCGCAGAACAAGTGTCTCAAGGATGGAGTTAGCCACTAGACCAGTTTATTGAAAATAAAAATTAAAAACTATCATCGTAAGGTCTAGAACCTCAGACCCCAGCCTGGGGCTCGGCGAGTGACAAAAGGAAGGCTGCTTAGACTGTGCAGGCTGTTCCCATCGCCTGTTCTTCCCAGGTCGTGGGCCCTCCCCCTGTGCTCCTTACAAAGAAGGAAAACAGAAAAACAGCTAGCAGCCAGTCCTTGCTTTGTCTCTTGTTGGCCGTAGAATTCATTCCGTAATTTACTCCTCAGCTAACTGTAGCCGGGGCCCTTGCCTCTGGGCACTTGTTCAAAAACACGGAAATGAAATAACAGATTGTCCTGACTGGGCACGGCCCCCCAGTCACAGCCCTGTTAACCTCCTCCTCCTGTCACCCTGTTAGACACCGCCTGCAGACTGGCTGGTGACACGCACCGCGTGCGTCTCCTCAAGGTGCGCCTTTGCCGAAGCACCCAGCACCCTCTTTTCATCCTCCCCTTGTGACCAGGAGCAGAGCTGGGGCACCTCTAAGTGGCTGAAGGGTTTCTGGAGGCTGGGAGTGGCTCACTCAGTAGTGAAGGGTGCCTTCAGCACCGCATGAAAAAGCCGGGTGTGCAGCACGCCCTGTCCCAGCCCTGGGGTGGGGTGAGGTGGGGTGGGGTGAGGCCCCTGGAGCTCAGTCTGGCCGGAGCAGTGAACTCAAGGTCAGTGAAAGACACTGTCTGTGGGGGCGGGGAGGGGCTAAAGATGTGGCTCAGTGATTAAAAGCATCCGTGTCAGGCAAGTCACAACTTCCTGTAACTCCTTGTCTGGAGGATTTGATGCCGTAACCCCATGTCTGGAAGATCGGATGCCTTCTTCTGCCCTCATTCAGGCACACAGCTGTACACATAAAATAAGTCAATGTGTGAAAACATGCTAAGGTGGAAATTGATTGAGGAAGACTCCTGAACTCTGGCTTTCACCTCATATACGTAGTCACACTTGTGTCTGTGCCCCCTACTCCCCCTGCCCCCAGAACTTCTGAACTAATTTTCTGTGTCAAAGCATTCCTTGGCTCTTAGAAATCCAGAGCAAAGCAGAAGAGATGTTTGCTGAAGCTTCACTCCACTTGTGTTAAGTACCCAAAGGTGAATGGCCATGGCTGAAGCTGCAGCGTGCAGGCTGAACTGAATGGCCAGCCTCAGTTGCTGGAGGAGTTTGCGTTTGTGTTGTTTATGGTGATTTCATTTGAGTCAGACTAAACAATAGTTGCCTCCTTTCTTGTCAGCATGTGTGGCCTTCACTGAGCCATCTCCTGACAAGAGGAAATCTACCTATCTCAATAAGATGGGAGGTAGAGTTGTCTTCCAATTAGAGAGCCCCCTCCTGGTGAAACACACTTGAAAATCATACAGGGCTGAGGCGACAGCTCCAACTGATGAAGCGATAACCACAGGAAACCCCAAGTTCAGTTCCTAGAACCCACACAGAAGGCCAGGTGTGATGGCACACACCTGAAACCCCAGCACTGGGCGGGAGGAGCAGGGGGGAGACAGGAAGCTCTAGAGGCTCACTGCCAAGCACTACACAGTCAGCGAACCCCAAGCCCTAGTGACGGATCCTGTCTCAAAAAAAAGTCGACAGCACTTGAGGTAATGGTACCTGAGGTGTCCTCTGACCTCCACACACACGTACATGCAGACATACACACAACACACACACATTTCCACACACACACACTCACGCACATATGCTAAAAGTTAGTGTTTAGTATCTTCACTCACTTCCATCTTGGTATTTTATCCATCTGTCTGTCTGTCTGTCCATCTGTCTGTCTATCCATCCATCCATCAGCAGGGTCTCCCAGTGAACCCTGAGTTTATCCGTAGACTGGCTGGCCACCAGTGCTGGGATTACCTACGCCCATGACCACAGCCAGCTTTTCTCTTCCCACATCTGTAATAGAACTCTGGCACTCACACTTGCATAGCAAGCGCCTCCCACACCCCCGTCAAACTCTGATTGCCAGACTTAGCCCCAGCCAGGCACTTAATTTTTTCAGCCAGTCTCTCATGGAACCCGCAACTCACAGATTGGGCCGTGTGGGCTTTCCTTGCTGATCTCCCCACCCCCGTACGTCTTTTCCCAGAAAGTAAGCCATAGTAGAGGTGAGACTGGATCATGCTGCTTGGTTTTGATTTACCCAAATGAGATGGTAAACTGGAAATCAGGCTAGACTGTGAGCTCCTGGGTGAGGCAGAGAGCCAAGTGGGTTAGGCGGCCTGTGTGGCGTGTGTAATCCCGCTGCTGCCCTTTGCCTGCTGACTGCTCACGTCCCTGTCTTTTGCTTTCCACGTCAGCTCACACCCCGGACAACAGCTTTCTGGGCTTCGTGGTCGAGCAGCACCTCAACTCGAGCGACATCCACCACATTAACGAGATCAAGAGGCAGAACCAGTCCCTTGTGTATGGCAAAGTGGATAGTTTCTGGAAGGTGAGTCAGCCCGCCGGCTTGTAGAGCTCTCTGAAAGGAAGCTTGTGAGGTAACTTAATTTTGCTTTCATCCAGGGCTTCTGCCCACGAGACAGAAGTGTTCAGGGGTTTGGTTGCTCTAGCAGGCTGGCATCTCAACTGAGGCTGAGTTTGCTGGTCCTTCCTTACAGCAACTACACCCCAAACCTTGCACTCTTTATGTTAAATGTGAGAAGGGAGCTGTGGAGATGGTTCAGTGGGTAACAGGCCCTTTGAACAAGCATAGACTTGAACTCAGATTTCTAGCACCACGTAAAAGGCAGGCCGTGGTGGCACATGCCTGCAACTCCAGCAGTGCCAGGCGGGGGCACAGACAGGGTCCCTAGGGGAGGGTGGTCAGCAGGTTTCCGGTCCAGTGAGAAGCCTGCCTTTAAAAATTCAGGTGGAGAGTGACTTAGAAGGTTAACAGTCTCTTTATATGTGATGTGTCAGCCTCCAAGAGACAATATTATAACTTTGAAAGACTTTTGAAAGACAGACATCCAGAAGACTTTCAAGCATACTTTTTTCTAAAAGTCTAATAAACCCTTCTTGGAATATTCATGAGCTGTGATCTCAGGCTTTGTGTCTCCCCGATGGGGGGGTTAGAAACTGGCCGCTGAGGACATCAGTGATGTGCCCATCTACGGGGCCTAGAAAACGAAATATGGTGCCCACCCCTCAGGTCGGGAGTGCTGACCATATCCAAAGAGCAAAGAAGCCAGTAGTTTTTTTGTCCCACGTGTATTCATCTCTTTGCATGTGAGTGGATGACGTATACACGCAAGTGGATGACGTACACACGCAATGTGGAGGGCCACCCTGTGAGTTCTAGGCTCTGGAGAGAAAACTCAGGCTGCTGGGCTCCATGGCAAGGACCTTCATGAACTAAAGCCATCTTGCTGGTCCCACTGACTCTGATGGGTTGATCTATTCCCATTCATGCTCTTTATCATAGGCAAACAGATTCCGAACTGTATAGTGTAATAGTTCTCAACTAGGGACAACTTCACTGCCTCCCACCTGCAGAGGGCAATCTGGCAGCGTCTCCAGACAGCGTTGATCGTCATGTCTGGGAGGGAGCACTGCCCAGTGGGTGCATGTGAGGAAGACGGTAAGCACGCTGCAGTGCCTAGGAAGGCCCCTAGCTTGGCTCTCTTACGTACACTGACAGTAATGGCAAGATTGAGGATCCCTGCAGTCGTGGAATAAAGAGTATTCCTTAGCACAGGTTGAATATTCCTAACTAAAAGTTTTGAAATCTAAAATACTTGGTGCCAACATGATGCTGGGGGATGGGAGAAGGGAAGAAATTCCGCCCCAACTTCATGCGGCAGGTCCCAGTCTAAAGCCCAGAGCTGCAGGAACTGACTTTCGTCCTGTGTGTATAAGGGAGTGTTGTGAGTTGAATGTGAAATCCCCACTGTGGGCTCATGTGTTGTGTTGATCCCAAGCTGGTGGCACTATTTTGGAAATTTTTGGCACTTTTAGGAGGTTGAGTCTCCCTGGAGGAAGTGGGTCCCTAGGGAAGGGCCTGGAGGATTTATAGTCCTGCCCTACTTCCTGTTCACAATCTCTGCTTTCTGACTAGATTCTGCATAGCCTGAGTAAGTCTAGTAATGCTTAGTATATAGACCAGGCTGACCTCAGACTCTGAGCAATCCTCCTGCTGGGATTTGGGATCCCAAATTGCTGGGATTACGGATGTCGAGGCAAGGACCTCCTGAGAGCCACCATGACCGGTCTTATTATTTTGAAACAGGTCTTTCTGTGTTCTCCAGGCTGGCCTGGAATTTTAGATCCTTCCGCCTCAGTCTCCCTGGTACAGAAGTTCAAAGTGTGCACCACATACTGAGCTTGTCCCTCATGTTTCTCACAGGACTCATCAACGGGGTTCTGTGATGATCACATGAGCTAATACATATATAAGTTGTGCAGCACAGCTCACGGCATAACTTCCTATTGCTATTGTTATCATTATTGGGCCAGTTAAGAATTGTCATGGTGAGAACTGGTTCTGAGTGTGAGAACTGTCAAGGCTGGGAGCATCTGGTGAACACAAGCCAGCCTGCAGATCCTCAGCTGCCCATTTTTAAACTGTCAGCAGTTGGTGCCCCCTGACCCATGCACTGAATCTGGCCCGTCATCTGTTTTTGTAAATAACATGTTACTGGAAAACAGCCATGCCTCCTCTCCGTCTGTGGAGGCTTTTGTACTGAAATTGCAGAGTTGAGTAATTGGGACAAAGACTAGCTGACCTATAGCGGCAACAGTATTTATTTACTGTCTGACCTTTCCTGGACCACTTCGCTCACCTCTGAACTCTGTTATGTCCTGGGTGAATCCAGTCTCTCTCAGAGGCTGCATTTAGCCAGCCTTTCCATCTCCTTAGCCCCCAGCCCTGTCTCTGTCTCTGTCTGTCTGTCTGTCTCCACCCCACCCCCACCCCCAGCACCATGGTACCTAGGGGATGCATGCGTGTGAGTGTGCACACACACTCCACCACCTCAGTTTTTAAGGCAGTCTCTCACCAGTTCCACAAGGCTGTCTGCTCAGCAATCCCCAGGAATCTGTCTCCAACAGATTAGAGGTGCCACTGTGCCCAGCTTTTTTATGTAGGTTCCAGGTGGTCAAACTCAGGTCCTCGTGCTTCCAAGGAAAATATCTTACTGGCTGAGCTATTTCTCCAGAACTCATTTTGGGGTCTTCCTTATGGTGATGAATGACTTATCTGTGGAGAGATTAAAGGTGCAGGACACCATTAAAATTCAGCTCACTGTGAGGAAAAATCTCCACAAACAAAAACTGGCATCAAGCTGCCTACTTTTCTAGGCTTCAGTGGAACGACTAATACATTGTTCCTGTTTGGTTTCTGTTGTTGTGATAAAGCACCAGCCAAAACCAACCTGAAGGAGGAGAGGGTTTTTTGGTTTGGTTTGGTTTTTTTATTTGGTTGCTTGGTTTTGGCTCACAGGTTATAGTCCGTCGTTGACGGAAGCCAAGGCAGAACTGAAACAGACCATGGAGAATCACTGCTCAGTCACTGACTTGTTCCCCTCTGCCTTGCTCAGTCACCTTTCTCTTACAGCTCAGGTCTACCTGCCTAGGGATGGGACTGCCCTCAGTAGGCCGTGTCCTTCTGCATGGTAGCAGTTAAGGAAATGCCTCACAGATGTGGCCACCGGGAAATTTGATGGAGGCAATTCCTTCTTCCCAGTTATATCTATATTTGTGTCAAGCTGGCTTTGGTCAGTGGAGTAGATAACCCAACAGTAGATGTTCTGGGTTAAATTCCCAGCACATCTCCAGCGTTAATGACAGTTTGTGAGCATGATTCCACTTAGAGCCCTTCAGAGCCATGATTAAAGGTGCTATGCTGGTCTTTGCTACTCTGTGGGTTCTTTTTTCCACCCTTTATTCCCTCCTCCCCCATTTCATGGTTTCATCCCCTAACACTAGATAAGAGAGAAACAAGGATAGAGGAATTGGGAATATCCCTGAATAATTTTTCCTTTGTTTCTTCTTTGACCACAGCTACTAACAAACCTCATCCAACCTCTCTAAGCAACCAACAACTACTGACCCTGCTTCTGGGGGCCCTTACATTTATACAACCTCTAAAAGTTCCCAGAATTCCAAATGTTATACAATTGCAGATATTAATTGCAAAACCATGCCTCTGCTAGAGCATGAAGCAAATTATAGTCAGCTGCTGCAGTTTCTGTGTTTTTAAGGAAACCAGAATTCCAGATTTCTCACAACAGTGGTACATGCTGATGTCTTTCGCTCTTGGTCCCTTAACAGTGATGAAGCCACAAAGCCAGGGTCTTCCAGTCTGTTCAAATGGCAAGCCAGGATCAAGGCTCTGCCCTCCTCTCCTTGTTGTCCCTTGCTTGATTGAGCTTAGCAGCTTCATGTACGAAGCAGTGTTCCAAAACGTGTGCGGCCAGTCACCCTGTGTGAGCTAAGCATCCAGCAGGGCCCTCGGGCAAATATTAGCAGATAAGCCACTGCTTCTGGCCACTTTCCTCCCTGGCGGCCAAGTCAGCAACTGCCTTACAGCTTTTCTGAATGAATAACTCTCTACAGGAGTCATTCAAATAATTTTCTGCTCCAGAGCCCAGGGCCTGACTTGCTGTAGGCATATTCTGACTGCCAACAAGCAAAGAAAACCCATCTCACTTGAATGTGGAAAGCTTCTTATCTGGACCTCTGAGGTTATAGGTTATACACATTCAACTCCAACCAATAATATGTTCCTTTTCTTAAGGCCTAAGAGAAGTGCAGAATAATGTACATAAATGGGCCATAACTAACACACGCACTTTCCTAATCTAGTCTCAATATATAATAACCAGAGGGATCTTCTTCAAATGTAGAATGAGGAATCAGAGAGATAGCTCAGTTGTTAAGATGCTTTACTGCACAAGCATAAGTATCTGAGTTCGGATCCCCAGTGCCCAGGTAAAAGCTGTGCAAGGTGGAACACACTGTACTCCTAGCCCTGAGGAGACAGAGACAGGAGGCTCCCAGGACCCACCAGCAGGCTGGTCCAGCCAAACTGGTGAGCTTCTGTTCAGCCTCAGTGTAGCCCAGGCTGGTCTCTAACCTTGAATGTAACCAAGAATGACCTTGAATGTCTGATCCTCCTGCCTCCGTTTCCTGAATGCTGAAAAGACATTTTACTACCATACTACATAAGTGAAGAGATGGAACCCAGGGCTTCCTGCACGCCAGGTAAGCGAGCACTCTGCCACCTGAGCCACATCTCATACTGAGATGCCTGGTTATTAACAGTGTTCTACGGTAAAGTCACGATGAGCTGTCCAAGAACAGCCACGCTGTACTGAGCTCACCCTACCAGACACACTTTAAACAGCCAGAAGTAAATCTCGAAAGTCTGTAGTCTGGGTGACCTCTCAGTCTGCGATAGAGTCCCATCCAAAGAATAGTGTAATTAGCGAGCTCACTAATTGGGTTGAC